AATATTTTTTAAAAAAACTTCTTACCTAAAGATTTCGTAAAGCATCACTAGAAATATTTTTAGAATCCCACATTAAATAAAATTTTTTTCCTTATTTATATTATTATTTTTTTATAAATTAATTCATTTTTATTTTTTTATTAACAAAAAAAATTTATTGTATTGAAAATTTTTTATAAATACTCAAATACATTGGTAGTATTTAAAAAAAATCTTCTTACCTAGAGATTTCGTAGGCATCACTATTCAGAGTACCTTTGAATTTCATCATCGGATAAAAATTTTTTTTCTTATATTTCTTTATTATTTTATAAGATTTATTCTAAAATTAATATAATTATCAAAAACTTTTATTATATATTTTTATTAATTATTATTATAAAATAACAAAAATTTGCTCTTGTAAATTTAAACATTTTAACATACATAAATATTAAGAATAATAATTAAAATAACAAAACCAAAAACAAAAAATAAAAAATCTAAAAAAATTCAAAAAAAATTTTTTTTTACTTGAACCAGATCGATCAACGATCCGGTCAACACACAGTTCGATCCAGTGATTCGGTCTGGTTAGGGCGGTTCGGGGATGGTTCAATTCGGTCTAGGTCGGTTCAGTTAGACCGGTCAAAGGCTGAGGGATGGATGGGTTATTGGGTCGGGTACGCGAACCCCGAGTCTGGTCACGAGTTGACGCGTGGATCCTGAGTGCTTAAAACAGCGTCGTTTTGGGCTTTTATTGAAATGATGTCGTTTAGATGCTTAACCTTCTATATAAAAGTAAAAAATAAAATTTAGCTTATTTTTCCCCTATCCCAAAAAAATAAAACTCTTTCTCTTCATTTTTTTCAGGCCGATTGGGGTCTAACCGTCCATCGTGACGACCGTCATGGTCCTTACCGGCGACGAGCTCCAACCACCATTGTCAATGGCAAAAAGTTCTAAAATCTCCCAAAATACTCCCCTCAACTCTCTGAACCAAATATGGCCTCCGTTTCACCTAAAAGTGTCCCAAATGATGCAAATCTAGCCTAAAAGTTTCGGCCACAATTTTTTTTTGGCGTTGTGGTCCTCGTTTCCAGAGGCTGTTGTTTTTATGTTTGTATGTGTTTGGTTTGCTTTGGATTTTTTTGTTTGATAGAAAGTTTTTTTTTTTTTTGAATCTAGCAAACCTTTGTTTTTTCAGCAAAGCTTTTTTTTAATTTTATTTTATTTTTAATGCTCAAATTTTATTTAAGAAAAATAAATTAGAACCTTTTTATCAAAATAATTCTTAAAATGTTTCAATACGTTGGTAACATTAGAAGAATATTTTCTCACCTAGAGATTTCTTAGACATCGCTTCTCAGAATGTCTTAAAATTTCATCATCAGAGGCTCAAATTTATTTTTTGTAAAAAGCTATGTCGTGCATGCAATGCAGAATGTTACCATGTTGATGCACACATTTTATTCTCTTTTTTAGAAATTTTATTAATTTTTTATTTTTAATTTAAATTTTTGAAGAAAAATGAATTTTTATTATATTGAAGTTTTTATATAAATATTACAATATTCTGGTAATATTTTTTAAAAAAACTTTTCACCTAAAGATTTCATAAAGTATCACTACTCGAAATATTTTTAGAATCCTATCATTGAATAAAATTTTCTTTTTTCTTATTTATATTATTATTTTTTTTATAAATTAATTCATTTTTATTTTTTTTATTAACAAAAAGAAAAATTTTATTGTATTGAAAACTTTTTATAAATACTTCAATACACTGGTAGTATTTTAAAAAAATCTTCTCACCTAGAAATTTCGTAGGTATCACTACTTGGAGTACCTTTGAATCTCATCATCGGATAAAAATTTCATTTTCTTACATTTTTTATTATTTTATAAGATTTATTCTAAAATTAATATAATTATCAAAAACTTTTATTATATATTTTATTATATATTTTTATTAATTATTATTATAAAATAACAAAAATTTACTCTGATAAATTTAAACATTTTAACATACATAAATATTAAGAATAATAATTAAAATAACAAAAATGATAAATAAAAAATCTATAAAAAAATTTTAAAAAATTTTTTTTACCTGAACCGAATCGATCAACGATCCGATCAACACGCAGTTCAATCTAGCGGTTCGATCTGGTTAAGGCAGTTCGAGTTAACGGTTCGGGGACGAGTCGGTTCAGTCGGGTTCAGCTAGACCGATCAAAGGCTGAGGGATGGATGGGTTATCAAGTCGGGTGCGTGAACCCCAAGTTGGGCCGACGGGTTAACGTACGGATACTGGGTGCTTAAAACGACGTCATTTTGGGCTTTTATTGAAACGACGTCGTTTTGATGCTTAACCTTCTATATAAAAGTCAAAAAAAAAAAATTTCAACTCATTTTTTCCCTCTCCAAAAAAAAAAAAAAAAAACCTCTTTCCCCTTTTTTTTCAGGCAGATTGGGCCGATGACTGTCCATCGTGACGACCACCGTGGTCCTTGCCGGCAACGAGCTTCGACCACTATTGTTAGTGGCGAAAAATTCTAAATCTCTTAAAATGCTCCCATCGACTCTCTGAACCCAAATATGACCTCCATTTTACTTGAAAGTGTCCTAAATGATGCAAATCTAGCATGAAAGTTTCGACCATAATTTTTTTTTTGTGTTTGTGTTTTTTTTTAGTGTTGTAGTCCTCGTTTCCAGAAGCTATTGTTTCTACGTTTGTATGTGTTTGGTTTGCTTTAGTTTTTTTGTTTGATAGAAAGTTTTTTTTTTTGAATCTGGTAAACTTTTTTTGAATCTATTTTTTTCAGCAAAGTTTTTTTTTTTTAATCTCTTTCTCCATTTTTTGCAGGTAACAAGCACTATTTATAAAACTTTTTGATATTCAAATCCCATATTTTCAATCCAAAATTCACGTTGTCAAGTTAGATAATGTGTCAGGTGGCTACTGGTGGTGGTGGTGACCTTGATTTTGGACTTTCGAGGAGAATACATTTAATGCATTCAGATTTCTATCGAGCTAAACCAAAAAAAAAAAGAAAAAGAAAAAAGAAAAATATATATAATAGTGATAATAATAATAATAATAATAATAATAATATATATATAAAATAGTGTTTACGCTTATAATTAGTGGAAGTCTAGATTAAACAAGAGAAAGACAAAAGAAAGTTGTAGAGTTTCACCTTGTTACATAATTAAAAGAGATTGAGAGGATTTTTTTAGATGTACATGTCTGATGATTGGTGTGTGAACACTTTATAAGATTATAGAAGAATATTCAAAGATATGATAATTGTTATATTTATAAGTGAGCTTTTGAAGAATAAAGACCATATGGTATATGTGAATGTTTAGATTGAGATCATTAAATATCATTTTAGATTGATTTGATTGTATGTTTATGAATTTTTATAATTATAAAATTTTTTTCATTTGTGAAGGTAGACAAAGTGAATGTCAAATTAAATTAAATTATGGTTTATTGTGTAAATAATTTATAATTTGATTATACTTTTTTTATATAAATAATTGATTGCTTGAAAGTTTTTATCTAAATATTTGGTATCAAAAATATATTCAAATTAGACGTGGATGAAATCTCAAACAAATGTAAAATTGGTTGATGCATTTGTCAGTCACGAACCGAAACTCAACTACTCATGAATGATTATTCTTATTAAAATAGTTGGCATGACACATGCATTAGATTTGAGTAAGACATTTAGTTGGTAGTTGTGTAAGTGAATTAATTACACGAAACTGCTAATTATCCACCTAAGATACTGAAGGCCTACTAATTAATTTTGTCAAATCTCCATTTTTTTTTAAACTTGGAATGAACTCCTCCATTCGTCAACATACGCACAATTTTTAGTTTTTGTAGAACCTTAGAAAATTTGGTCACTGTTTACGCTGACTTTGACGCTTGTGTAATTATATTCACGAGAATATATATGATTAATGTGTATGAACACTCTGATTCCTGGAATCAGGCAGATTTTGATTCTTAAATGTTTTTCACCCTTTTTATTCTTATAAATGACTGTGTTTTGTAGTTTGGTCAGCAGATTAAAAAAACATGATTCGAATTTGGAATCATGGTCGCTGGTTTTGGACGTAACCTTTGCGGAAATGTGCCAAGTTTCGTTGATTTTAAAGTACTAAACCTATATGTTCAACTTTCAGGTTTTCAACATTTGCGACTGGCTGGGACTGTTCCTTTCTTTTTTTTTAACTATGTCGTCAATTGGTTTTCTCTTTTCAACGAATATACTTTCCTTCACGTTTGAATTGCCCAGAACACGAGTTTCCAAGCGAATTAACTTTCTGCTTTTTTTTCTCCTAAATTCAACTTTTAATCATGTTAAAAATTCCATAATCCAGCCGGATTACTTCCTCCCTTCCACACTTGCCTACCTTTAAATATTCAAATTAATCACCTATATATATGAATTATGAGAATTATTTCGTCTATGATTCGTAATAGAGTGTTAGATATGGAATATTCAACACTTTATGATTTTTTTTTTGTTTATTGCTTTTTAATTCATTCATCATTTACGTGGGTAAAATTTTTTATGAATTATAAATTAAATTCATATATGCATGAATGATGATTAAAAATAGTTAAAAAAAATAATGAATTAATAAAAAATTTCTTTCTAATTTCTAATCAATTTTAAAAAACATATCTCGAATAAATTTATTATGTTTGTAATTTGTTTGTTTAATTAAAAAACTTTGAAATATTATTTGTGATTATATGTTAATTTTAATAAACAAATAAAAAAGAATATAAATTGAATATATTCACAAATTATTTATCAAATAAAAATGAATTTTACTATATTCATGATTTATTTATTTAATTAATAAATTTTAAAATATTATTTATGATTATTTGATAAACTAAATAAATAAATAAAAATCAAATTTATTTACAAATTAATCATTGAATATTTTATTTATTTACATCCATAATTTTAAGGTATATGAAACATCGCTACTATTACAATTATTTTTTAAATGAACAACGTAATATATCTGTAAATCAATATATTCTACAAAGCAAATACTTCTTAAAAAACGAAAAATTAAAAAAAAAAAAATCAACATATTCTACAAAGGAAATAGTTCTTTAAAAAAAAACGAAAAATAAAAAAGAAACAAACAAACAAACGAAAAATCATGGTTGGTAAAACGTCCAGACTCTATCAAAAAAATTCTGTTCCTAATTTTTTTTTTCCTTTAGTGATATAATTACGGATTTACGGTCAATCCTATTATTATTTCACAAATTCCACTGTAGAAAATTCGTGGTTTATGATGGGCTATTGGGTTTCGAAACCGAGACCTTCCATGTTCTAATCTCCCCATCCAGGCTTCCGCTAATAACCGAAAGCACATCACTTTGTTCATCCTCCTTAGCCGCTGTCAACGACTTCACCGGCTTCTGGTGACCTTCCAAAACTGCCAAACAACAGTATTTCCCTTCCAGTCCACGTTGCCAAATTCTAACCGTCTGATCAGCAGATCCACTTATAAGTAAATCAGAGACGTTGATCAAGCACAGTATCGCCTTCCCGTGCCCTCTCAATGCTCCCGTTACCGCCATGTAATTGGCGCTATCCTCCTTCTCCCAAACCAGTATCGAACGGTCACATGCCCCCGAAAAAAGCACCGATCCATCGGCGTTTAAAGCCAGTGCATTAACTGCTGATTTATGCTTCTCTAAAGTCGCCACCAACGCGTACCGCTTCTCACCTGAGGGTATCGCCCAGACTCGAATCCTCCTGTCAGCGGACCCTGTATAAATGGTGCCGTCAACAGAGGCGGTGACGGCGTTAATGGCGTCGTCGTGTGCTTTAATAGACTGTAAACAGCGGACATCAGAAGCTCGCCATATCTTCAAGGTTTTATCCCAAGAAACAGAGTAGATTAGACCTTTACTAACGGCTAGTCCAGTAACGGCGTCGGCATGTTCGATCCACAACCGCTTCACGTGACGGCGAACCTTGACATAGTTCTTTGGGAGAATAAAACGACGAAAACGATCGTTAACGGTTGGAAGGGTGGTTAAAAACTTGTGCTTTTTAGTCATGGTCATTTGCCAGACTCGGATCTTACAGTCCTGGTGAGCAGTGAAGATTTTTCCATTACAGAAAGTAATGGACTTGACGGAACCGGAGGATGATTTCTCGCTGTTATATACATCGAGAAGAGTGGAGGTTTCGAGATCGTAGACGTTGATTTCGTTGACAGAAGCAGCATACAAGAAGTTACCCTGAACCGCAACGCAGGTGATCGGGTGCTTCGGTCGGGGCTTGACTGAAGTAATGCTGGTATGAAAGACGGAAAAGGGTACGGCGTCGGGGAAGAGCTTTTGTAAGGAAGGGACAGATGGAAGAGTCTGGAGGGAGAGGTTGCTATGGAGGCTGCTGTAGCTGGTGTCACTTGAAGAAGCTGAAGATGACGTGGCGCTCCCGCAATAATTGGAGGAGCTGTCGGAAACGAGATGCTCCGATGAGTGCGAGGGGTTTTTGGGGAATGGAATGGAGGAGTAGTGGGTGGAAGTGGCGCAGGTGCTGGTCGAGCATGTGTTTAGCCATGATCGGACCTTCATGCCGGCTTTTTGTTAAAAAGGGGTAAGAAATTTAGCTCCTGGAGAGAAATGAAACAAAACCTTGCGTGTGGTTATATATAGAAAACTTTCCATAAAAAAAAATCTGATGCCACGTCTCAAGAGTCAAGTGGCGTAAACGGGGTAGTTTTGTAAATTAAGGGTAGTCAATTTTCCAAGTTGCTGCTCTACGGTTGGGAGTGAATGAGGGTACATTCAGAAGGACAATCAGATGAACTTTGGTTAGATTAAAAATTGCAATAGACGTGAGACTGATTTTTGTTACTGTAAGATTAAAATTAATATTGAAATATATATTTGAATGTAAAAATAATGATAGTAATAAGGGAAATTATAATAAAAAGAAAATTAATTATTAAGAATATTAAATTAAATATAATAAAAGTTTTAAATTATGTAATATTTAAGAAATTTATTAATAAATAGTAAAATTATTTCAAAATATTTATTAATGTAATAAATAATAAATTTTATTTATTATATTAAATTATCAAATTTATTTTATAATTTTTAAATAAAAAATAAAAAAGTAAAAAATAAATTTTGTAACGACTTTTTAGATGTAATAATAAAACTTAAAAGGATGAAATTGTAAATAAAACAAAATTTGACTGACCACTCATCAGGCTTTTTTTTTAACCTCATCACTACTTTATTTGGAAACATAAGCGGCAGTTGGCACTTTTTTTTATTGCAACTACGCGGCAGTGAAGATGCGGTGCAATTCAAATTTGGTCTGAAAAAAAGTTGGTGTGGCTAACCGCGTCCGGAGTCCAAACCAGCAAAGGCGGGAGAGGAGTGGGCACATAACAGTGATATGTGAGGGAAAAAAACTGATGAACATTTAGACTTGCTAATTTTTATATTTAAGTAGTATTTATTTTGTGTTAAATATATAAAAATTATAAAAATTATTATAATATAATTTATGTTAACCAAATATGAAATACAAATTTTTTATTTTTATTTAAAATTTAAACTATCACTTTTATATATTTTTTTATCATTTGATGTTTAAAATTATCCTATCCAATTAAATGTGTTGCTAACCCACCGAAGCAGGCAAGTGCAATTGTGAAGGATAGAGCGTACAGGCAGCAGAATTTTGAATACTTCAGGTCGAAGCAAGTAATTAAATACATACAAACAGATAAAAGAGAAAATCTCACCATCAACCTAGCAAGAACGGAAAAATGGAATCGTGTTTTTGCTACATTAATTTGTTATTTTTTCCAACTAGTTTTATTCTCTGTTTGGTTGAATGGAAACTTCAAAATTTAAAAGAAAAAAAAAAAAAAAAACTTATATGATACTAGCAGAAATGAAATTTGCGTCGACTTTTCCTTGTTTTTCAGTACGATTCGTGGGTATATTAAACATTTGGCTGATTTCTAAACATTCAAAGTAAAGGAAAAAATTTATCTATTTTCTTCCTCTTTTTGTTCATTAATTTATTTTTTTTTCTAGCAAACTTGTTAAGACTAAGCAATTGATAAGAAAAAAAAAATAAAAATATGCATATGGATTAGGGTCAGTAAACTTAAACTTAAAAGTTAGTATTAACAATAACAATTTATTGATAAAATATTAAAATTTTATTTTCAGTGATTAAAATTTAAATTATAATAATTTCAAATACCAACCTAATTGTTCAAGAAACAAGGTCATATCTGGACTTGTATCTTCCACTAAAATCATAATCAAATTTTAAATTTGCACTTTAATGTTAAAAAAAATCTATATATAATCGTGTCCATGTCCCTAATCAGTGTCATTTGGTGACATTTTTTACGAAGAACAAGAAAATTAATACACCACTTGCCAATTTAGTAGCAATCTTAAATGCCAACATTTTGTAGTTTTATTAATGGATGTTTCATTACTTGACGGCAGATGCACTGATAATGTAAAAGCCAGCCAGGGGATATTAATATATATATATATATATATATATACATATATATATATGGACCACACTAGGAAAAAGCTCATTATTTGGATAAAATTACTGTTTTTTGGATTTATTTTGTGCAACTTGTTGCCCTAGTGAAAGGTCCATTTCCTGATTTAATTATCATTTCTTTTATGATGATTTTATAATTAATTAATGATTAATTTCTTATATTAATGTACACTTTTTTCTCTTAATTTGTGGTTTAAAATTTGACCGAAACATGTAAAAAGATAAACAAATAGTTTTTAATGAGTTGTTTGTGAATATATTTGATTTTTATTCATTTATTAAATTTAACAAATAATTTTAAATAATATTTTTATATTCATTTATTAAACGAATTAAATATGAACAAACATCTGTTTAATTCGTTAATGTTAATGAATAAATTCGTTTAAAATTTACTTAAAACTCATTCATTTATTATTTGTTTATTATTCGTTTACTGTTAGTTTAGAATAATATTAATAAAATTATATTTTTATCTTTTATCTTAATTTTATTTTAAAGTTCATTTGTATTATTTTGGATTCATTTAAGATTTATTTGTTTAAATTTATTTTATTATAATTTATTTATTATTCATGAATATATTCATTTATATATATTCATAAACATGTTCGTTTAATATTTATAAATACATTTATTTAATTTAATTAAACTCAATATAAACTTAACATGAACTAAACGTGAATATTTTATTATTTAAATAAATTAAATTTTAAAAAATAAAACAATTTTTATTATTGAACAAAATTCAAATCCAAACACATTTAAAAATAAACAAATAAATCACGGACATATAGTGTACATTCAGATCATTTTTTATCTTAAAAATATGATCGGATAGATGAATTATTTAAGACAGGGACTCGAACCCCTTCCACGTATTTTGGAAAAGTGACTACGGTTATAAAGTTTGGCCTTGGCAGTATATTATTATTTTATTATTTAAAATTAATTAAGATAAAAAGGATTTTTCAAATCATGTGGATAAATAAATAATTTTTTATTTATTAAGATAGTTAAAACACCCTATTAATAAATCATATATATGATGGATGACCGCATAAATAATTAATTGTAATCAATGTCATTAAAGTCATTCCATCATGCATGACGACAAATGATTTGTATTGAAGCTAACACTGCTTCAATTGCATAATTTCGTGGAAAAAGTGCATACAAGTTTTTGCTAATACTAATTTAATATATATATATATATAATTAATGAAATGATAATAACTTATAGCTCCATCTTGATATTTGAGTCACCGTGTATAGTGGTGTTGATTGTATTTAATTTATTTGGCATTTAACGCAATAATAGTGTTAGGAGAACGAAAGACTCGAATGTAAATTTTTGAAAATATATTTGTATATATATATATATATATTTGATAAAAAAATTTAGGGATAGATAGGTTGCTTAGTCTTCCAGATTATGATAAGACATGTCATATCTGATGACTTAAGACAGGTAATTGTAGGTCGTACATTCGAGATTATTCCAACAAATGACTACCAGTAAGATTCGAATCTAAGATCTTTTCATCGAAAAGAACAATCTTAACCGATTAAACCAACCACTTGTTGGTAATATATTTGTATATATTATATACTTTGATGACGGAGTTAAATGCTTGAGTGCAACAATATATATATATATATATGTGTGTGTGTGTTAATTTACAAGAATGGAAGAGGACGAAAAATTATGAGATGAACTAATCTTTACTTGCTAGTTTGTGTTATAACCTTAGAGTCACTTTTTTCACTTTTCTGGATATTGAATAATTTAGGGTTCAACTGTCATAACATATAGATCCGTAAATCTATAGTTAGACTTAACAAAATAGATAGAGTTGTCACCAATCTTTTTTAATTAGGTGTGATTGGAATACCTAAAGAATTTATCTTTTTAAGGAACTCTTAAGCTTGACTAAGGATCCATAAAAGAATAGATTTTGGTTTACAAACTAGAATAAGGTTCGAGAGTTCGGTTACATCTAAGAAAGGTTATAGCAACCCTACATGCCTATCCGAAGGATGGTACCATATTATTTTAAATTTATCCTAAGGTCTTGAGTCTAATGATTTCAAATTTTTATGTTAAATATTAGAAATAATTTATAAGATTCTTCCATCAATCTGGGAGAATTCTTAAAAATATTTTCTCATCTCAAGAGTATTCAAAAATCTCATTTGATATCTTGAACAGGCTCTGTCGTCAGAAAAAGATTTATTTATTATTTTATCAAAAATATATCTAATTATTCCACAATTTATGCCAAATTAAAAATATTTTCTCTTTTAAAATTTTTAAATTTTCACCATTTAGGCCTATTTAGAAATTCCTTTATATATATATTTTATATTTTTTTATTTCTAAATTTTTCACAATTTGGGTCAATTTAAAAATATTTTCCTTTTTCGAAATTTCTAAATTTTTCACCATTTAGCCCATTTAGAAATTCCTTTTTTTCCTTGGAAAGAAAATAATATGATAATTATTTTTATTGAAATTTCATCTAAATTATTTCATAATTTGGGATAAATTTAAATTTCTCACCTAGAGATTTCTTAGGAATTTACCATTTGAAATTTCTAAGAATCTCATCAATGGGTAATTATCACATATTTTCAACCCAAATTTTTATTTGGAAAAGAATACAATTACTTGTATTGAAATTTTATCTAAATTATTCCACAATTTGGGCCAAATTTAGAAGAAATTTCTCATCTAGAGATTTCTTAAAAAATTTACCATTTGAAATTTTTAAGAATCTCATCATTGGATAATTTGTATTTAATTCCAAAATTTTTATATTTTTATATTTGTGTTTGAAGATAAATATTAATTATTATTATTGAAATCTTATCTAAATTATTTCACAATTTGAGACAAATTTAGACAAAATTTCTCACCTAAAAATTTTATAAAAATTTACCATTTGAAATTTTTATAAATTTCATCATTGGATAATTAATATTTATTCTCAAATTTTATTTTTTTTATTTTTTTATTTCTCTAAATTCAATCATGCAAAAATACTAAAAAAAATA